TTTTAAGAGTAAAGTACACCTTGGCATTAATTGTATTTACAAATCTTCAACTCAATCCGTTAAAGATATCTGTTTCTTTTTGTTGCGAGATTCTTCTCCACAAAAGTGCATACATACGTGGCAAGTTAAATAGAGATTATTCTTTGTTTTATGCATAACATTATCTTAAAAGTAAGTAACTTCTACATAAGCAGCAAAATTTCAAGTTTTCAGGCCTCACTTCTAAATATATAATCCTACTATTTTAAATGTGGATGGATGGAGAGGGAGAGGGAGACCAAAAAAAATATGGATGGATTGTGTGAGAAGTGATATGGAAGACAGAGGAGTTAGTGATAGCGTGACGGGTGACACCCGTCACGCTATCACTAACATTCTGGACAGAATGGAAGAAAAAACATATTGCGCCGACCCCAAATAAAACGGGACAAGGGCAGGAAGGTGATGACTAGCTACTCTCGCGCGGTTTCACCTCTCGGCTCCATTTAATTGGAGCGTGATGTTTTATAGCCTATTAACTCAGGAACATTGTAGTTCAGTCAGTCAGGCAGTTAGTAAGTAGCACATCAGTGAAAGAATTTTAGCAATCTCACCAGTAGCAGATCACCCCCTACATACAAACTTACTTTTGCCTCTTTATAATATTAGTATAGATGACAATAGAATACTTTGTTTTTTCGTTCTCCTTTTTTTTTATATGTAATAGGTCGGCAAACGAGCAGACGGATTACCTGATGATAAGCAATCAGCGCCGCCCATGGACACTCGCAACGGAGGAGTTACGAGTGCGTTGCCGACCTTTAAGAGATTAGGGATTAGGAGATTTAGGGATTGAGGAGGGATTGGGGAAGGGGAAGGATTGGGCCTCCGGTAACCTCACTCACACGGCGAAACACAACGCAGTGGTTATTTCACGCCGGTTTTCTGTGAGGCCGTGGTATCATTTCGGTCGAGCCGACCCATTCGTGCCGAAGCATGGCTCTCCCACACTTAACTTTGTTAATTACAATAATTTTCCGAAAATATTTTTTGTTAAAAACTATTTTCTTTGCGTTTTTTATGAAATAGCAGGTTCTGACATCATATTTTTGTCAAAAAAGACGTGGTGGCCCGGAGGTTAAGGCGCCCGCTTCTCATGCATGGCTTCTCATTCATATGAGGGTGTGGGTTCGAAACCTGGCAAGTACCAATGTGACTTTTTCCGAGTTATATGTACTTTCTATGATTATTTAGACACCACTGACATACGGTGAAGGTAAACATCGTGAGGAAACCTGGACTTATAATTTCTAATTATAAGTTTGAAATCGCCAACCCGCATTGAGCAAGCGTGGTGATTAATGCTCAAACCTTCTCCGTGTGAGAAGAGGCCTTTGCTCAGCAGTGGGCACTTATAGGCTGATGATGATTTTTGTCAAACACATCGAATTATTAAAATAAAAACAATATCCAGTACATTAGGTGTAAATCTCTTTAAATTTTAGTTTTTTTTTTGACAGATGTAGTAACCCAATTACCTACCTACATTTTTAGTAAATATTTCAGCGTTTGGGGGTCGGGTAAAGTATCCTAATCCCAAGCTCCCAAGAAATGCAAGCGTGATATATCATTGAGTAAACGTAATAGCGTGAGAATAAATTGCACTAGTCGTGCGGGCGCGGCTCATTCTGTAAGCGGATCTCGGCGCCATCATTAGGCTATCCATACACGAGATGCTTTTTCAAATAAACCTCCTTTTTGGAGAGGGGCAAATTTTAACAGTAACTTCTCCAGCCTCGGATTGATAAGAGGGAGTGTCAGACTCTTACTGACTAAAATCCACTACTCCTAATCCGAGCCAGGGCGTATTACATGAATGTGCTTGCATCCGCAAGTCTGGTCCCAGTGCCCATTCTATGGTGGTTCACGGCTTCTTAAGGAGAATTCAGAACGCGACGCGACGTAAGTTTAAGTAGTCCAAGTAATCAGAAATTATTTTCTATATCTACTCTCGCGCGGTTTCACCCGCTGTTCGGCTCCATTTGATCGTAGCGCGATGTTTTATAGCCTGTAGCATTCAGGAACATTGTAGCTATCTATCTGTGCAAGAATTTTCGCAATCCGACCAGCGTTTTCAAAGATTACCCCCTACATGCAAACTTAAAAATTTTACCTCTTTATAATACAAGTATAGATGAAGAATAAGTTGTTTTGTTGTGTTATTGGTTTTACAAAATATAGATTTTGTATGGCATTGAATTTTCTTCAGAACGATCACTAAAAAGACTGTAGACTGGCCCAAAGCGGGTTGAGAAAACTTGTAAAGGTTTTTTCAAAGATGTCATTCTTTGTCATGGCTTCTATGTCATGTTTTGTACTTTTTATTATTAAACAATTAACCTTTCAATCGGAGTAATGCGAGACACAATAGTAGACAAATAAGAGCGCGTTCGCCGGCGTTCCCTTGGGGTTTTGTGAATTAATTACCTCAACGTAATCACAGCGAACGAATACACTTCACTGATTGATAAAATCGTGACGTTTTACGTTACTTGTGTAACGCGAAGGGGCGTGGTCGCGATGCGTGCGCGCAGCTAGGTTGACGCGTGGTCACACTGACAGCGGGTTGGTAAAGTCCTTTAATTTTTATGCAAGAATCGTAGTGACTCTTTGTAGTTTATACCCGTAATCTTACATGTTTTTTTGGGACTTCGGATTAACCTATTTGTGACGTGGCTTAGTCCTTCAACAGTAGATATTTGTGTAAACAGTAAATATCATGCCCATGGCATTAAGCCCACCGATTGTACGATAGTTTTAGTGCTTATAGATATATAAAATAAATAAATAAATATGAAATAAAATAGTACAAAACTAAAATAAATGCTTAAGGCGTATGAGGTTTCTTGTCACCATCTTCGACTCCCAAACACCCAATCCTGAAATCATCAAGTCTCAAAACTCTTATCTGCAAAAAACTCCGGTCACGCACTTATAACTAGCCTCTGCTATGGTATGTGTTCATGGGCGACGCCGATTGCTTACCATCAGTTGAACCTTCAGAACGTTTGCCCCCCTAAACGTATGAAAAAAAAAACTTAAAATGCCAGAAACTTCCCCTTCATCTTTCATATTGATATTTTTACTCTGAAGTTAAATTTTGTTTAAGTAAGAAAGAAAGAAAACTGAAAGAAAAATTCGGAATGTGACATGAAGGCCAAGAACAAAACAAAAAAAAAATACAACAATAACAAAAATACAATAAAAAGTTTGAGTAACAGGACAACAAAATAAAATAAAAATAAAATTAATCAAAACAATAACCTTAAAACAGACTAACAAAGTTAGAATAATAGTAGATACCCTGGGTTGGCGGACATGCTCAATCCGAATGGATCGCCAACTCAGCAAAAGCTGGGCACAGAGCACCCAACACTGATTTTCAGTTGGCACCCCTTACCCCAAGTAGTGAAAAACCCAAGACATTCTATACGAAGAAATACTTTCAAAAGCTATCCGCCTGTATAGAGACCACGCCCACTTTGCAACACAAGCAAGCGCGTGCGCAAGCAACGCGACGCGACGGTGGCGACCGCACACGAAGATGCACGATCAATGCCGAATGCCGAACTGTAAATTTTATGTAGTCTTACTTTATGTAAGACCTTTAATGTTATAGTGTACAGAAATTGTATGTACTTTGTATCCAAACTAATATTATAAATGCGAAAGTAACTCTGTCTGTTTTATCAATCTAAAAATCTTAACACTTCCTAGTCTATTTATTTATGAGGTAATAAACTACATCAGGACTAATTTATATAAGTATAAAAAATACAAAAGTAAGCGACAAATTAACAAAATCAATTGTCCTACGCATAGCACAATGATGTTCAATAAAAGTATATTCTGCATGGGACCACGAATTTATAATCACCTACCAAAGCACATACTAGAGATTAAGAATAATGACTTATTTAAACGCAAGATTAAAGATATAATGCTAAACAAGGCCTATTATAGTGTTGATGACTATCTACATGATAAATCCATCTAGTAAAGAATCATACCATACCTACTTAATTATATTTATGCACAGTATTATTGTTATTTGTTTTAATCCGTATTTTTTTGTTTTTGTTATAAAATTATATATTATTCAAAATACTATGGTACTATTATGGACAAAAGAAAATGTTAACATAAATGTAAAATGACTATGAACTGGACAAGTATAATGTTTGACATTAATTTATAATAATTAAATAATTTCTAAATTGCATGCCGACAGGCGAAACATAGCGGACTTATATTATGTATGCTTCATCATGTCTTATGTACTTATTACCTATGTTTGCAATAAATAAATTTGAGTTTAAATTTGAGTTTGAGTTTGAGTCTGCCTGTCTGTTTTTTCTGTCACACCTAAACTACTGAACCTATTTGTGAAATTTGGTACAGACATAGTTTAGAACTCGAGAAAGGACATAGGATAGTTCTTAAACCAAAAATCTGCAGGAAAACACTATTCCACGCGAACAACGTCGCGGGCAAAAGCTAGTCTTTTATATTTTTTTCTATGTATCTTATCTGACATCTTACTAATATTATAAATGCGAAAGTTACGATGTTTGGATGTTTGTTACTCAATCACGCCAAAACGGCTGGACGGATCTGGATGAAATTTGGCAGAGGCATAGGATGCTCTCCGGAATATGACATAGGCTACTTTTAAATCAACATACCACGCGGGCGAAGCCGCGGGCGGAAGCTAGTCCTTTATATTTCTTTGTATTTGAAGTAGCATCGTTTGTGATTTTGAGTTCTCTGAAGACAAAATAGAGATTTTTGAAGGTCACTCTCTATTCATCATCGGCAGCTAATAAGTACCCATTGCTGAGCAAAATCTATTCCACACGGAGATGGTTTGAGCATTAATCACCACACTTGCTGAAGGTTGATATGTGATTTCAAACTTATTTAATTATTACTTTGTTAAACTTTTCATCCGTTTGTTCCAGGCTTGTGGGCCTCCAATCCAGTTGGAGCCAGTAGACCTAAGTCTGAAGAGACCACCGACACCCAGAAGACGTGCTCGAGCTAGCGGTAAGTACCTTAGTGTGGTCTTCTTCATCAGGTTGACTAAAACTGAAGAATTTCCAACGAAATGGATTTTCTGGAGTCTGGAGGATTATGTCCGTTGTTTTTTGTTTTGGCAACTATCGGAAGACTTTATAGATGTGTTGTTGTTAGACGAGAATATTCGACTGTTCTAGTCACCCTAGGGGCCCGTAATCATTTGTTGACGACGAAACGACCTTCAAACTTTTGAAGGTATGAACGACAGCTCACTGTCAGCACCAATTGCTCTATCTGGGGATCCGTTTCCTTGTTTCCCACCCTAAGCCATTATTTCTGAGTAAGCACACATTTGGCTGCTATCTCGCTTAGTGGTAAACGATAATGCGACCTACGATGGAGCATGCCTACCCACAGGCAAGCTATTCACTCGGGCCTAAAAGACAACCAGGTTATGCCCAAAACCCAGTTTGATAAAATATTCCCCTTAAAAAGAAAAACTGTAAATTTGTATTCTGTGACTGGGCTACCCCAGGTATTCGTAGAAGTAGGGAAAGGTTATTTGAGCTATATGGTATGAAACCATTTGATACTAGTGAAGCCTTCAGCAAGCATGTGTCCAAATATGCAAAAATATTTAAAACAGTCTGTAAGCAAGCTAAATCACTTTATATTGGCAATAAGATTAAAAATGCTGAAAATAAAACAAAAGCTACGTGGAAGGTAATTAATAACGAGACAGGCAGAAATAAATTGCATAACACGGAATTTAATTTAAATACGGATAATGGACGAGTTAATGCTAATCAAGAAGTTGCCCAAGAATTCGAATTTTTTTTCAAGAATATCCCCATTAAAACTACGAAAGACTTAGAATCATCCCCGGCACTTTCTATTAGTCTTCTTAAAAGAAATGTTAAAGAATGCCGTTCTGGCTTCCGATTTCAGTACACGGACTCGCAATCAGTAATAAAGGCGTTTAAAGACATAAAAGTTAAGTCTACAGAGGATCTATGGGGAATGTCTGTTGTGGTGTGTAGGTCTTTTATAGAAGCTATAGCGCCTTACTTAGCTGTAATTTTTAATAAAAGTGTAGATCAGGGAGTTTTTCCAAATTTGATGAAACTTAGCAAGGTAGTTCCGTTGTTTAAATCTGGCGATGACAATGATCCCAATAATTATAGGCCGGTATCAATTTTACCAGTGCTTAGTAAAGTGTTTGAAAAGCTAATGCTTTCTCAGATGCTACGACACTTTAACATAAATTCCATCTTTCATGACCAACAATATGGGTTTACCAAGGGTCGATGCACAACTGACGCCGGTGTAGCTCTACTTAAGCATGTTTTTGCCTCATGGGAAAAGTCAAACGACGCTATTGGGATTTTTTGTGACCTGTCTAAAGCTTTTGATTGCGTTGAACACACGACACTGTTGCTGAAGTTGGAACACTATGGCATTCGAGGGGTATCTCTCAATTTATTAAAATCATACCTGCAGGATAGGTAGTTCAAAGTACAAGTAAATAAAGTGAACTCCCAGGGTACTAGCATATCTATGGGCGTACCACAGGGCTCAATATTAGGTCCTTTCCTGTTTTTAGTGTACATAAATGATTTACCTCATTTATTTCAACGTGAACCGGGAATGGTATTATTTGCTGATGACACATCGTTGATTTTTAAAATAAATAGACGGACAGATAATTATGACGACGTAAATAATGCTATAACGAAGGTTCATAATTGGTTTACAATTAATAATTTAGTCCTAAACGACAAAAAGACTAAATGTATACGATTCAGTTTGCCAAATGTTAAAAGTAACGAATGTGACATATTATTAAACAGTAATAAATTGGAATTTGTAAAACAAACTACTTTTCTGGGTATAACCATAGATGACAAACTACAATGGGGGCCCCATATCACATCTCTGGCAGGACGGTTGAGCTCTGCAGCATTTGCTGTCTGGAAGATCCGACAGCTAACAGATGTGGACACTGCAAGACTGGTGTACTTCAGCTACTTTCATAGCATTATGTCGTATGGCATCTTGTTGTGGGGACAGGCTGCTGACATTGAGTCTATCTTTGTCTTGCAAAAGCGTGCCATCAGAGCTATTTACAATCTAAAGCGTCGTGAGTCTCTTAGAGAAAAGTTTAGAGGAATCAATATTATGACCGTGCCATGTCAGTTTATTTATGAAAACATTATGTATGTTAGGAAAAACTTTAAAATATTCGATAAGGTGTCAGATAGACATAATTATCAAACTAGACATAGAGATAGATTATGTCAGCCATTATTTAGATTGGCAAAGGTACATAAGTCGTTCATGGGATTCTGTGTTAAATGTTATAACAAAATCCCAGGCGAAATACAACAATTAAATGAAAGAAATTTTAAATTATGTGTAAAGAAAACTTAAAAAAGCATACTACACACTGAATGATTACATTGTAGATAAAGATGCTTGGAGACATGCTGGTCCTGCTCCACAGGATAGCAAACGTACACCAAAATAAATAACGTTCCAATGGATTTTGCTTGAACGGGACTTCTTCATTTTAGTGAAATTGCATTATATTGTATAACTATAACTTGATAAATTTGTAAATGTGAGTGCCCTGTAACCTATTATAATTGGTTAGACTAGCAGAATGTCGGTCCTTATAACAGCTTGGAGTTGTCATGCTCACTGAAAGGTCACACTGGCGGTGGCATGGGCACTGGATCGCTTAATTCCCTATAATATGGTTGAGTTGGGCGATGCTGGCGTACGTGTCATGCTCGTGAACGAGCGCCGTCAGTTGGGACTGGTCAGCTCCGGACTGTCTATTGTCCTTAAGGTTACTTTATTTTTATATTTGAATAAATATTAGTGTTACACTGTTCTCACATAATTGAACCAACTGTTTGTAAAAGGAATCTGTATGTGAAACTGATTTAAAAAGAGTAACCATGGAGTTTCTTGCTCGTTCTTCTCCATCGGAATCTACACTTTGGAGCGAGCAAATAGCTTCACTAAGAGGACTGACCGACAGACTGACACTATTTTTTATTTTAAATTTTGTTTGACGTTCAAAAGTGCCTGTAAAGGTCTAATTGGAATAAACGATTTTTGACTTGACTTGACTTGATGCCTTTTGGGGAACACAGACTCCGGCAAAGAATTACACCCCTTAGCGGTTTGGATTATAAAACTTAGGGCTGATTTTTCAATGGCTAGATAAACGGTTACCTAGGGAATCATTATGATGCTGTTGCGTCAGAATGTTCGTATAAGGCAGTGACAGCAACAATTTTATTACTGAGATAAGATTTATCTGACTATTGAAAAATCAGCACTTAATTTGATAAATTCAGAAGATAATAAATAGGTAAGAATGAAGCGGCTGCAAAAATCTAGTTTATTAGTTCGTTTATAAATAGTTTCACAGTTCTGTTACATTTAATAGGTCTGCCATTTAAACCTGCAGTATTTAATTGTTTTGCGTTCATTTAGTTCTGTTCGTTAATTAGTTTTTCAAGTAAGCGAGGTCAATGGGACGACACGGATGTATTTTGCCGGATCTGTCTCTCTTTGAAGTGTGGGTGAGCCATGCTTCGGCACGAATGGGTCGGCCCGACCCGAGGGATGCCACTGCCTCACAGAACGCCGGCGTGAATCAACTACAGCGGTGTGTTTTCGTTTGGTTTTTAACCACCCCGTTCTTTGTCCTACTCCAAACTGGAGCCGCGGAACATTAATGTGCTTGCTATATAGCTATATTTGTCTACACAGCTATCTATATTTAAAATATAACCTCTCAATTCCACACGTACTTCATCATCATCTTCCTGCCCTTGTCCCTTTTTATTTGGGGTCGGCGCAATATGTTTTTTTCTTCCATTCTGTCCTGTCACCCGTCACGCTATCACTGACTCCTCTGTCTTCCATTTCACTTCTTTTTTTATTGTATAAGTTGGCAAACGAGCAGACGGATTATCTGATGGTAAGCAATCGGCGCCGCCCATGGACACCCGCAACACCAAAGGAGTAACGAGTGCGTTGCCGGCCTTATGGGGATAGGGGTTGCGGATATAAGGATCGGGAAGGGATAGGGGAAGGGGCAGGATTGGGCCTCCGGTAACCTCACTCACACGGCGAAACACAACGCTGTGGTTGTTTCACGCCGGTATTCCGTGAGGCCGTGGGATCACTCCGGTCGAGCCGACCCCTTCGTGCTGAAGCTTGGCTCTCCCACACTTACTTGCTTACACTTCTCACACAATCCATCCATATTTTTTTTGATCTCCCTCTCCCTCTCCATTCATCCACATTTATACTCATGGCTTTCAATTCAACAATTCCTCACGTACTTGAACTCGATAAATATAATAGTTGTAGGTCGTGCTACTGAATAATTCATTAAAGCGGAAATGCCTTTGCACTTGTAAATAGCGTTTAAATTCGTGTGATCTTGTTTGGATTGGACACGGATGCGTTCCCGGATCTTGGTGTTTTGTAGTGGGTGTGAAAAAACTGTTGAATTTCCAGAAGCCCTTCTATGACGTGCGAATCTTACGGGCTAGAAAGAAAGATGGAGCTGTACAGTATAGCTTCATCCCTCTTTTTCACCCGGAAGATTGACGCTTTAGCACTTCATGGTAGGCCCTCAGTACTAAGTTCGATTGATGAAGGGGCTACAAGGCCATTTTTAATTCTAATATTAAGCCTATCTATGCTATAATATACTAATTCCACATCTTAATTTCCATAGCAACCCATACCCATAACCGTTCAATTAATACCACATTTCGCAATAGTCCTGCATCAACCGGGGATTATCCGTGGATGAACTTTCATAGTGCATACAGCGATAATTGCTGGCTGATGTCCCATTTTACTTAAACTAAAGTTGTTCAACGGGCCTCTGCGAGTTGGCTTCGGCTCCTCGTACGCCTTCCTAATAGTCCGGGATCCTGTGATCCCGTGAACGGAAACGAACATACATCTATATACTGATATTATAAAGAGGTAAA